CACTAAATGATATGCCTGGGTGTCGTAAACAGTGGCGTTCTTGCATCTCCTCAATTTATTTGCAGCCATAGTTTGCTGGAGTTCTCAATTTTCTCTTCAATTCAACTATCAACTTCCCTGTTCTTCTTCTTCTATTCTTCATCCAAATGGGCAGCCAAAAGACAGCAACCAAAACCGGCGCACGAATATGCGTGGTTGATGGTTGTTCATACTGAAAACACTTCTCAGAGGATTCATATCTACTGTGTTTTTCTATGCTGATTATGCGTACATGTGGGCAACATCCGTAGATTACGTTGGTTGGGGCATGGGTTACGCATGCCACCAACTCGATTGTCACAGCGCGCAATGTTTGCCGAGGTAGGTGATGAGTGGAAAAAGTAAAAGATGGTCAAGCTATGCCTTAGTGTGATTGTATGAAAACCCTACCCAAGAAAATTGATTACATAGATCCCGCTAGGCTTCCTAGATGGAACCTTGGGATCAGCTTAACTGGTGACTGAAAACACCGAGTCATATGGCTACATGTCGTAAACAGTAGCTCTAGTGCATCTGCTCATTGTCCTTACTTAATCTTCATCAATCCCCCATTTTCACCGTAGCATTGCTTTCATTATTCCAGTATTCGTTCAACTTCTTCATCCAAATGAGTAACTAAAGGGCAACACCTAACATTCTCTGCAAGAAAGTTCATGAATAATGCTACTTTAAACCCGATCATAGAGTTCGTTTTGACTAGAATTTACCATCTGTAAATACGTCAAAGCAGGAGTAGGTGGTGTCTGCAACGTCGGCTCACGAAATTTCAAGAAAGACCGTGAAAAATCGTTGACAACAATAACCAGGGAAATGGAAGTAGTGGCTGCATCAGGGGATAGTCAAAGACTGTTCCAACTGATACGCAACATGGCCCTTGAATCACAGTTGGTGAAACAGTCAGCGTCAAAAGTGGGAACATCAGCTTGTCCGATATGCGGAGAACTTCACTTAACAGTTCTGCTGGCCAGGTGCCATCCAGACTGTTTCGTCTGTCGGAGTTGAGGCTTGGTGTCGCAAACAGTGGCGACGGTTGTGAGATCTTAAATTTCAATCCGTCGCCTAGTGGTTTTGGATGTACACGTAGTCTGATCCTGGTGGGATAGAGTGAGCGGGTTTGTAACCTAGAGGTAAGTCATCAGATGTTGAGGAATGCATCAAACATCGAATTCAGCTTAGTACGCCCCGTTGGTTAGGACACTTCTTCGCTTATGTCTAACGGTTATCCACCGATCCACGCCTTATTTGCAGTGGCCGCTGCAGACTGGAGAAAGTCACGTGGAGGCCAGTAGATGACGTGGAGACGAGGCATAGATAAATGTACGGTGCGATTAAATAGAGTAAGTGTCTCTCGTCTTCCGGGTTGATGTTCAAAAGACTTCGTAACTAGATGGTTGAAGACACTGAAGGTCATCGCAGCAAACTGACAGCAGTGGCGATTCTTCTGTAATTTCTTATCAGACTAGAATGCTTGAAATAGTATGCATGCACAGTCGAACTGTTTACTCTCTGTGTTGACCGTAGAGGTTCGCTTTCTTTTCTCGTCCCTAATAATTAGCTCAATCCTTTTCATCCTAACACATTTTCGTGTAACTTGTATTCATTATTGGTTTGACAGCGATCAGTGAAGTCCGCCTCACTGTATTGCGCTGTACAATGATGTCTGATGTCACGTCTCCTAGACCTTTTGTGTTCAATCCTAAAGTACCAGTCATCGTTTTGAATGTATCGGCTAAATTTGTGTTCGGTTTCCGAATTGTTGCTTTGCTCAATCCTAGTCTGATTTGTAGAATTGAATAATGTTAAAGTTCACCGTCAATGAAATTGTATATTCAGTTTGACGAACCCAGTGGGGAAGGTTCTTGAGAACTTAGTAAGGAGTTGCTAGAGCTAAAACAGGCCTGTTTACTTTCGTCTTCTACCTTTAGAATGTTGAACAAATATTGTACCTTCTTCAGAATGTTATAGTGATAAGTTATGTTTAAAACATACATAAGATAAATGGAAAATTCCGTCCAAGGATTGGCTCATCATGGCTTGTGATTCATGTTGGCTTCTATTTTCTCAATTTAAATTCTATCTAGCCAAACGATTACGAAAACAAACAGAAAGTGGGCACATTATCGTCGAACGAAAAGGTATGCTCCTTATTTTTTCCTTTTTCGTATCATTCATGATATGGGATTGTTCAATTTGGTTTTAATCATCATGGACTAACTGTACTGTTTTTCTGCTTAGGTGTATTCTTCCCTCGGCCACAACACTTTGTCATGACTCATGGTTGTTTTCACTATCCGCCGATCGAGCACCCTGTTATTCCCATAACTGGGGAATGGAATGGACTCATCTTTAAGTTTGATTTTACAGTTACGGTAGTAACTCATATCTTTCTCTGGCCGTTGACTGCTAAGCATTACAGGAACTGTCACATCTGTCGCTGTTATACATGGCTTTGAACTTCCACTCCCTTGTCAATTGGTCGATATTAGCCATTTTTAGTAGCCTGTGCTTCTTCAAAAACGAGTTCCTGTATCATCTTGAAATCTTGTTGGTTGTAGATCATCATGATGGTCGTTATAAATATCATTTTTCTGATACAGTCATGTTTTCAGGACTCCGTTGTTTTCATTCGGTTAGCAACCACATATGCTGAGCTCGTAGCTCTATATCTTGCTTGTTCGTCTCAGTTGCTTTCAAATAAAATCCTCTTGATGTCGAAGCACGGTTGTAAATCGTATGGATATCAGTTTTTCCCATACAAGGTTGTTTTTCGTTTTTTCCCAGGCCTTCAGGGCTTCATTTTTTCTGCGAAACCTCCAAGTGAAGAAGAGGCTTCTTCAGAATGCGAAGGTAAGTGTATTCTTGATGTTGATTTATGTTCGTGAACTGGTTCGCAAGGCTAACTAATTTGATTAACACGGGTTTAGACAAAACAGGATATCGCGTATTTTTCCGCATAAAATGATTTGCAGCAAAAGAAATAAACCCCATGATCAAAGGCAGAATGTACACGGGTGATTTGCGAGGGACTTTTAGATAAGAACCCCACTCATTGATCGTGCTTTCGAAGAGTTAACAACTGGTGATCATCGTCATCGTACACAGAAATTTAGTGGGGCAAAATTCACTGATCGCTGTTCAAGTTCATAGTGTATGCAATAAGGGAATGAATCCCATTTTCAGAGAAGTGAAAATGTAGCAAAACACTATGGCCGACACAATGCACGCGGCCCAACTTTGCATACCCACTTTCCTAAGCATTTTGATGACAACAAGAGCGCCACTGCGATCGGTTTGTCGCCGTGTCAATCAGTTTCGCCAACCAACCAGTTATGAAATCTTTTGGACCACAACCTGGAAGACGGTAGACTCTTAACCAACCTAATCAACCCTTCGAATTTTGTTTGTTAACCTACACGTTCGCTTGGAACGGCAAATTAAAACAGGGCGCGGCGCCGTAGGCAACAGTTCAACATGCGGAAGACGTGTTCTAACCAGTGAATCTTATTGAGCTGAATTAGATTCAATAACAAATTATATCAAAAGATGTGGGTGAGTGTAAGGGAGTGTTTGATGGGGAATGAGAAACCAGGTTTGCACAAAACACGAATATAAATGGGAACTGAAAGAGAACAGTTGGTGGAAAGGGTTAGGAACATTTTAAGGAAAACTGATTAGCGGTAAGTTGTGGGAAAGTTGAACGTGGTAGGACTCCGTGCGGCGACGAATCAAGGGCCGAAGAAAACTAGTGCAAGTGGAACACTGCAACTATGATCGACGCTACTGTTATCTATCGTTGATCTAGCTTATAAAGTGAGTGAAATAGCATTTTTCATTTTACGCCTCATACACTTACGTCTTATGACAGTAT